CTTTCCCTTCGGTCTGTGCTGTGAGCTAAAACCCCGTTTCTTTTTGAAGGGGAAAAGTAAGGTGAGGCGAGTGAAGACCATCTATGACTGCCAGGCAGACAATGACGACGAGCTGACCTTCATGGAGGGCGAGGTGATCGTGGTCACCGGAGAGGAAGACCAGGAGTGGTGGGTATGTACCAGTCGTGAGGACCAGGGCGCCCCGGGCCTGCCAGCCCCGCCTCTTCACCAGCGGCCAGAGCTTTGAAACCGGGTCAGGAGAATTCACCTTTGCACATGCTTGAGCCTTATCACACCACAACCTGTAAGCTCTAGATATTCTCTGATTTTCCAACCAAGCTCTGCTCAGGCCCTGCCCTTCACCACCGTGCGTCCTCCTTCCCGAGTTCCCTCCTTCATCCCGCCTGCAGTTCTCTTTCCGTCAAGTGGGGCATGATCCCTGCTTCACGTGACTCTAGAAGTTTGAATGAGAATGTGTGAAACTCCTTTTACGTGAAAACCTGCTGCCCAGGTGTCAGGAAGGAAAGGCATCCCTGTCTTCCCGCCGGGGCCCTTGAAGGTGCCCCAGTTCTCGGTGGCTGCAGGGGCGGCTGACATGTCCACAGCTGTCTGGGTTGCAGCCGGAGGGAGCCTGCAGTGGGCCCTGCCAGGCACAGGTGCAGCGGGCAGAAGCCTCCTGTGCTTTTCCTAGTCGATCGTTTCCCGACCCCAGCGTGGCAATTCTTCCTTGGCAGCCTGAGCCCCTCCTGCCCAGAGGGTCGCGGCTCTGTCTGCCGAGAAAGGGACCTGTGGTTCACAGCTGAGCCAGCAGAGCCTGCTGATGCCCAGGAACGTGTGCACGTCCACACACACACACATACACACACATGCGTGCACACACGTGTACTTCTGGCTTCCCCTCCTTTGGGCCCAGACAGGGACTTCAGATTCTTGGCCACAGCTGTGGGGGTTTTGCTTGGACTGCAGCACTGGTTCAGCCAGGGGCAGTTTTGCCCTCCAGGCACATTTGACAACATCTGGAAACATTTTGATTATCAGGACCTGGGCAGGGTGGGTGCTTCCTGCTTCTGGGGGGTAGAAGCCAAGGCTTCTGCTAAGCATCTAGCAGTGTTTGGAATAGCTCCCACTCCAGAGAACCATCTGGCCCCAATGTCGGGAGTGCCGAGGTGGAGGGACCCTGGACTCTCTCCCTCTCTCTCTGACATGGGAGTCTGGCAGCTTAGACTCTTGACAAGGAGATGGACCCTAAAGGCCCAAGGTGACTCACTCTGAGGCCCTGGATGAAGCATGTCCTTTCAGTAAGCCTCAGTTTCCTCCTCTGAAAAGTGGGGCATGAGTCTAAGAACTCACGTGCACGACACCAGTTAAGACCCCGTGAGATGGGTCGGCCAGGCCTCACTCCACTCTCCAGAAGGGAAGCTGGCGGACAGTGGCCCGGGTGACCGCCCGAGGCCACAGTCCCGGTAAACGAAGGAAGCAGCCCTGGGCTGACGCGCAGCTCCTGCGCCGGCCGCCCTCTGTGCAGCAGGCACTTCATGCAGGGAAATGAGAGCGGGCCTGGATCTCTCTCCGTAACTGTCATGTGAAGCCAGCGTGCGTGTCGTTATTCTTTCTCCTCATAGGCTTCTCTTTAATGCAGTTAATGCTGGTGTAACTGAAGTTATTAGGAACTTCTGTCAGGTAACCATGGCTTACAGGTTTAGGCAGCAGACGACAAAATGGCCGTAAAACTTGCCCTCGTCCATCTCAAACTTTCACAATGTCCTCCCCCCGTACAGCAGCCAGAAAGCAGGTTCTTGGTACACAGAGGCCCTTCCATGTACATAATCGTTAGTGTAATCTCTCAACAAGCTGAGAAATAGGGGTTTTTTAGCCCCACTTTACAGACAGGAGGCTTAGCACGGTTTGCCTGAGGTCGCCCAGCAGGAAAGGTGGCCAGACAGCCTGGTTGAGCGCATTGTTGAAGCTGCAGCCTGGGCGAGACCGTGGCAGGTCAGCCCCCTCTCTGGGCCGCTGTCCCTTTGTGTATAAAGTGAGGGGGGTCATGGGACTGTACCTCGCGGGGCTGTCTGCGGGTGCAGCGATCCACGTGAATGTGGTCCCCCCCACACCCGTGTGGTGCTTGCGTGTTGTGTCTCACCGGGGCCTGCGTCCCGCCCGGGTCAGGGCCAACTCCGGGGGCTCTGACCCACCGGCCACCTCCAGCCTGACACCTCTCCTTTCTCCCTGCAGATCGGGCACATCGAAGGGCAGCCCGAGAGGAAGGGGGTCTTTCCGGTGTCCTTTGTCCACATCCTGTCTGACTAGCAAAAAGCAGAACCTTCAGACTGTCTGCACCTGTCATGCAAGACTGCTGCGTCCACGTGGCCCTGTGCTCACCGTGTATATAGCTGCTGTCACTGAACGGGAGGCTCCCGGAGGGGCCGCCGTGGGAGGGGAACGTAGCGTGTGTTGTAAATACCCTGTGGTCTCTGCCTTCGCCAGTATTAGGGTAGCCTTGGGACCCGGTGCGCCTTACTGGTTTGCCAAAGCCGTCCTTGACATCTAGCACTTACATCTCTCTCTACGCTGTTTTCCAAGCCAACAAACAAAAACAGGAATATAGGAACTGCTGGCTTTGCAAATAGAAGTGGTCTCCAGCAACCGTTGAAGGGCATAGAGTTGCCTCTCTGTTCCTGACAATACAGTATTCTCCATTGTGTTACTGAAAATGCACCATTAGCAAAGAGGTGGGTTCTGTTTTCCAGGTGAAACTTTCGGCTCCATGACAGACCAGCCTGTAGTTACCTGTGTACACAGTTTACAGCTACAAAAACCGACCTTGGTATTTATTACAGAAAAGTGCTCAGTTAAATGTAAGTGTTATTCCTTGAGCAAAATATTCACTGACCCAAAACCTTGGGTGGCATTTTGCAGTGCCCAAAGCTTCATGCAAGTTTAGACAAGTGGGTTTGCACTGTCTTAAGAGGATGAGTACCCGCCCCTGAGATATTACCTCATTATGCAAAAATAACATATCCTTCATGACTATTTTCACAGAAGTTTAAGACATCTGATGAAGTTCAACTTTCAGGAACCAAGGACTCTGCCAGAAAATATTAGCCTCTACACTATGCATGCATTTACAAGCTTACCTGAAGTCTGCCTTTTATAAAGGAATAGGATGGAGAAGTTGAACTGTACATTTTTTAAACTTGATTGCCATTAAAGGAGAAATTATAAGGTTGCAACAATACTTGCTTCCAGTCATTTGGCTTTCTCGAGAGTATGCATTTACATATCACATTATGAATTAGCATCCTTCAAATGTGCTAACGCCCCCAGTGTGTCCATTTTAAAGTCTTTTCTGAGTTTTGTTCTTGACACATTTAAACATTCAAAAGATTATTCAAGAAGATGACGAATTCAAAAGTCAGTTCTGCACATCATTTCCCCCCCCTGCAGAATCCAGGTGCCGAAACCATCCTTCTCTTTTTCCGTTTTCTTTACTAAGCCCCAGTCATACATAAGTTTTCCAATCTCCAGCTCTGTTCAGTAGACACGCTACCTTCAAGTCAATTCATAACCAAGTTTTTGAACGCTGCTATGAGTTGCACTGTGAAACACGCTCTTCCTGCCGGGAGTCTCTGCCCCTCTCGGTTTTCTTCTCATCCCAGCTGTGTACATCAGACCATTAAGAATATCGTGAGTTTTTCAGTCTTTTACGTCAGTCTGAATTTTGGGAAAGGATACAGTCATTTCACTCCACAGTCGGTGGGGCTGCTCTCTGATTCCGAGGCTCGTGTGTCGTTCTGGCGTTAAGTTTGCTTAAACTGCTGTGTTGGCAGCAGCACAGAAAACTAATATTTTTAAGCAGATAATCTTGGCGATGAGTAAGAAATGTTCATTTCACAGAAGCACAACTCCCAACCAAACCCTTAGGGGAAGCCTTCTTTAATAGAGTCTAGAGTCAGTGCTCAGTGAATATTAATTTAGTTCTGCTTAAGTGATTACTATGAAAACTTTGAATAGCCACCTAATCAATAAACCTTGCATGACAAACCTGCAACATATCAGCTGTTACTGGAAAGTGATTTTAAGCAATTGCTTCCTCAGCGTCACGGCACACGTGAACCCCACACAGAACAAGACACCGGGAGCCAGCCGACGTGCTGGTGTATGCGGCTGACAGTGTTCACAGCCTCAGTGTTTAAGCCACATGGGTATCAGGCCAGGAAGTCACTGTCTGAAGTTATTTAGTGTCCCAGTTCATTCATCTATACTTCTTAAGTTGTATTGAAGCACCATTCATTTTTGTGGCCTACGGTATTTTCAACTGATCTCAAAATAAACTGGCTTTTTAAAAAAACACAAGAGGTAGATATCTAAAATTACATGGAGTCAATGTCTATTTTTTTCCCCTTTTGGAGTGACTTTTACACAAATGCCTTTTTTTTTTTTTTTTTAGCACTTTGGGTTTTGTTTTTTTTCTTCTGGTTTTGTTTTTGTTTTCCATCAGGAATTTGAGTTCTCTCTAACCCAGCTTACTGTGGGACATAGGAAAACTAGGTATAAGTACCTTTGGCGACCTTGGTTGAGTTTGAATCTGGTATTGTTCTTAAACTCAGTGATCCACTATCTGCAATTTTGTACATGATATAGAGTATTTTGAAGGTATGGAACCTATGGAAAAAATAGCTAATTAGTTCTTTCTCCCCCCCCCCCAGAGGGGAAAGTTATGTTCTGCAAATAGTGTGTGTCTTATTTTACTGTTGAACAGCAATTGCTATTTATTTTTTTATTGCCTAGAACTTTCAACATGTTGTATAGGAATCCCATAGCACCACGAGTTAAATTCCAAATTCCCATCTGGATGTTACGCTCAAACATCAGTACACTCGTCATTTCACATGTATTTAATGTGACAGTTTTCAAGTACTGTATGTGTTAATTTCTACTTTTTTTAATATTTAAAATTGCTTTTAAATAAACATATTCTCAGTTGATCCCAAACATCTGACATCAGGCCATTTTGTGAGTTGTCCACTACTCTTCTGATTGGAGGAAATCAAAACTTCACTTGGCTCTGCTTTTGGCAGGGTGTAGGTAACACAGGTCATTCATCTTCTGCATTAAAGCTCACTTTGGTTAAATAATGTGCTTCCCTCTCCTCAGCTTACGAACCATGGACCTCAATGTTTTGGTTTTCCCTCCCTCCCTCCCCGCCCCCCCGCCCAATTCCCACTCCCACCTCCAGGCACCCAGCCTGCATTCATGAAGGTTACATGTTGATGCATTAAAAGCTCTTGGATGGTACCCAGCACAGACCAAGCGCTGTGCATGTACTTGTGTCATGTTGCTGTCACCACTGGTGCCACTGCACCATGAGCAGACCCAGGTCCAGGCACTGGGCAGCGTTATCTCATCTCGCCCTCAGCAAGCCCTGCCGGCTTCACAGAGCTTGACAGGAGTCTCAGGAAGGTCCGTTACCGCGTAGCAGCCATGGGGGTCTGGGTGAGTAGTTCTGGCTCCAAGGCCATCCTCAGAATTTCCACCATGTGGGGTATGGTCAACATCATGAAATTCTAGCCAGGGAAATGCAGCCGTGGAAAGCTGACGGAGACCACAGCGTTGAAGGTTCTGAAGTGTTGGTCTCAGCATTTCTTTTGTCTCCTTTCGTGAAAGTTGGTAGATCTTGACACCTGTTCACACACCTCGGCAAGATAAACCCTACAGACCAACCTGTGGGGAAAATGGGGTTCGGCACGGAAGCCAGTGACTTTCCATCGGGATGTATCTGGGAGAGGTGACCATAATTACCTGGCTGTTTCAAGCCGTAATTACCTGGATGGCAGCCAGCTTTCCATCTAATTACAGAATGCTTCAGTGGTTGCATTGGTTATGTATTGTTTTAAACCTGGAGCAGCCTCTCTTTGAGGTCAACACACCGCCCCCCCCACCATTGAAAGCAGCCCCTCCAGTATGCTGTGAGGCCCCCGTGGCCCATCTCCCAGGGATGCTGGGAACAGGAGGGCACCCTGATCTCTCTCCCTAGGGTCCTTCAAGCCCTGGACAGTAGATGGGCCGTTGTTCCTGTACGTGGAGTCGGTCCTGTAGGAGGCAGAAATCCTCCTCCTTCCTCAGCCCATCTTCAGATGAGGAGATGCACTCGTAGGGCTGAAGTGGCTTTGCCCAAGGTCACAGTGAGTCACGGCAGCTGGTGGAGACCCAAGGCTTTGTGGCCTCGGCACCAGCCTCCCCGACCTCTCCCTCCCCAGCCCTGCGTTTCACTCCTCTCCCCTGACCCTGTGCCCCCCGCCGTATTTTTTATGTCTTCCTCCTCCCAGAATGTGGGTGTATGTGCGGCAGGGGTGGGGTGGGAGTGTTGACAATTATGGGGCAATTCAGCCTACTCTACTTTGCCCCCCATGTGTTCTCATCCATCCCAAATGGAAATCTTTCATTTCCCCAAATCTGCAGTATGTGGGTAATTTGAAGCCGGTGGGCTTCCTGGAGGAAGGGGGTTTGTGCCCATCCTGGGGGCCTGCACGACTGAGCAGGTGAAGGCAGAGAGCTTGGGCAAAGGCCAGTGGGACAGTGTGTGGCGTACCTGCAGCAGCCGGAGCAGGGACCAGTGGTGAAGGCGCAGACAGGAACCCCTCCCCAGCAGTCACGCACCCCTTCTTCCCGGGGGGCCCCTCCCACACGGGAACTGCTAACCTGCATCGCGGCCACGACCCCGGGCCCAGTGCCATATCAGCACAACCGCGCTCGTCCCAGCCACACTGTGAAGCGGAACGATTATCTTAACCCTTATTTTACAGTTTAGGAGACTGATGCTTAGGTGAAGATGTAACTTGCCAAAAGTCAAGTCGGTTGTGAGGGGCAGGGGCTGGACTCGAACCCAGAGGTCAGGGCCCCTGTAGCTCCCAGCCGTGACCTTGTGTTGCCTCTGCTGCTACTGAATGGGTCCGAGCCGGCCCACTCCAGCATTGCAGGGCAGGTCAGCTCCAGGGAAGTATAAACCAGGAAGTGCAACGAAGTTTGCAGTCCAGAGAAGTGATGGCCTTTGCAGAAGGGGCCCCGGGTGAGTAGTTCTTGGACAGCTGCTCTGCAGAGGTCGGGCTGGCATCCGGTGTCCTGGTACATGCAGCCTGTGACTGAGAAGAAAGCGGTGGTTGAGTGAGTGTGTCTGTCCATCAGCACCGCAGCCCCGTGTGCAGGCATTGAAACCCTTAAGCTCCTGAGAACAGGAATTAGAGCTCAGGTAAACACAGCTGTTGTGCAAAAATCTTACCACACAGCAAACCCTAGTCAGAGGCTCAGAA